CCCGGAAGGAGGACACAGCGGGGCTCGTATGGACAAGGTAAGTGATGCTACAGTGTAATCCCGTGTGTGGCTCAGGGGGTTACCGCTTTTGGTACTGAAAATTAACCCCGAGCCACGCTTGGGATTACCGCCAGGAAGGTTAAAGGAGAACTATGAGGTGAGTGAAAATCACTCAGCCTCATAGTTCGAGCCGACCTGTGACAATGAAACTGTCACACGTCGGCTCAATACCATCGCTCGCTCACTTCTTGATCCTGTCCCTGCAGAGAGCCGTGGCTGTCGCTCACGGCTCCCTGCAGGGATTCCCCCCTCCCCTGTCCGATCCTCCAGTGCTGACTGGAGGAACGGACGGGGGAGGGGGTGGGCACATCTGGCTCTGCCTCTGTCAATCACGCAGCTGGGTGGATCCAGACATCGGGATCCGTCCCGCCTGCGGCGGTCTCAGTATATAAAGAGCTGTAGCTCGCGGTATACTGAGCTTAGGGTGACGGGAGGACGCTAGTTTATATCCTTCCGTGACACTTAGGAGAACTATGGGGAAAAACACTGACCCCATAGTTCTCCTTTAAGCACCAGAGATTGTTGATCCAGGGAATATCCGATTGCCTTATGGGATCAGGAAGGAATTTTTTCCCCTGTTGGAGCAAATAGAACCGTGCTTTATAGGGGTTTTTGTTTTTTTTTCCCTTCCTCTGGATCACCAGGGGGTAATTGGGGGCATAGCGTTCTGTTTAGGCTTTTCTTGTTTTTTTTTTTTCATATCTCTATGGGTTGAACTCGGTGGACTTTTTTCAACCTGACTGACTATGTAACTAAGAGGCAAAGGATTTGAATTGCTATAGGAGCATAGAGTTATCGCCGAGCTTAGTGAATGAAGCAGAGTCGGGTTCACTTGTATCGAGGAAAATCCTTTTTTTTGGTCATTTTTGATTTCCCTCGCACGTGATTGGATATTAAATGTAAAAATTGAATCACTTCAATCCTATGGGAACATTCAGCCCCTATTTATACTTTTCAGCAATTTGTTTTTACTATGTTTGTGTGTTTTTGCACATTTTTGGGCTTGAGCTAGGGATGCTCTGATACCATTTTTTTTCCAGACTGAGTACGAGTCCCAATACTTTCCATCAATTACTCGCCGATACCGATTACTGATACTTTTTTTTAGTGTCATGTGACAGTTTTTCTAAAACAATACAGACTAAGGAATTCAGGGCAGTGGTGAAGCACCAGGGCCCAGTCAGAACTGCAAACTCTGCACCCCTGGAAGTTTTGCCACTGTCTCCAAGCTGTAGAGGGACCACAAATCCCAGCAATACATCATACAGCATTGCAGAACGGCGCCAGCTATAGAGGACTACAAATCCCATTAGTAAATTATACAGCAATGCAGGATAACATGAATCTACACACATCATATGTCGCTCCAGAATGGGAGCCTGATGTGTCTAGGTTTTCAGGTGGCCTGTCAGGGTCTCAGATGGGCTGTGCAGGGTCTCAGGTGGGCAGTGAGGGGTCTCAGGTGGGCTGTGGGGGTCTCAGGACAGCTGTGTGGGATCTCAGGTGGGCTGTGTGGGGGTTTAGGTGGGCTGTGAGGGGTCTCAGGAGGGCTATGCAGGGTCTCAGGTGCACAGTGCGGGGTTTTCGGTAGGCTGTGCGGGGTCTCAGGTGGACTGTGCGGGGTCTCAGGGGGGTTGTGTGGGGTCTCACCAGGGGTCCGGAGGATTTCAGGGGTGAAGGAGTTCTCCAGTAAGGAGGAGGAGATATGCGGCCGGCGCTGTAAACAGGCATTGGGGTTCACAGGAAGGCTGCCAAGGTCCCCAGCAAGCATGTGACCTCAGGCAGCTGTTCAGTTTAAAGCACCGGTGTCGGGGGAACAGTATCAGCCTGGTGTCTGTGCATCCCTAGCTTGAGCATCTTTGGCTTAGCCGAAGGCTAACTAATTATTGGGGGAGTTAGGAACAAAATTCCATGAAAAATGATCATTATGTACAGTTTTTTTTTTTTTCTTCAAGTCTAGGGATCAAAAAACACAATTTTGTCCCCCAAAAATGTGATTGTTCATATTGAGCGATGTCACTCTTCAAAAACACTCAGTTGCGGCCTTCACCTCGGCTTGAGTATTTTTAGATGATTTTAAAGCTTTTTTTGTGCATTTTGTTTTAGTTTTTTGTGGGATTTTTTTTTCAGTCATTTTCAGGCTTGACCGTTTTTCTTTCCCCCCCCAAAAAAAATATTTTTCATGTTGAGCGTTTGTGCACTTTAAAAAAACATGCGAGAAAACACGCAGGTGGTGGGAATGAGGGCTTACACTTGGGATTGACCATTTTCAGATGATTTTGAGGATATTTTGGTGTGTTTTGCACTTTTTTTCAGGCAAATTCAGGCTTGAGCGTTTTTGTTCTAGCCAATGGTAAGTTAGTTACTAGGAAGAGGAGGAGACGGTTGTTAGGAGCCAACAATTTGCATCGTTGTTCATTTTCACTTTCGTTTTTTCGTGTTTTAGTTTTGGCCAATGGAGAGCAGTATCACCTGTGACATCATACGTCTTCATTACTCTTGTATCTAGTCTCTGGTTCCCCTGTGTGGTGTTGTGGCTTCTTGTGCTATCAGAGCTCCCAGTCCCGAAAAACTTAAAGGAGAACTATGGGGTCAGGGCTTTTCCCCATAGTTCTCCTTAGGGTAACGGGAGGACACAAACTAGCGTCCTCCCGTCACCCTAGGCTCAGTATACCGCGAGCTACAGCTCTCTATATACTGAGACGCCGCAGTCGGAGCGGATCCCGACATCGATTTCCAGATTCACCCAGCTGCGTGACTGACAGCCGGCTCTGCCTATTTAGAGGCGGAGCCAGCTGTACCCGCCCCCTCCCCCGTCCATCCCGCCAGTCAGCGCTGGCAGATCGGAGCGGGGAGGGGGGAATCCAGCCCCTCCCCTGTCACGGCAGAGAGCCGTGACAGGATCGAGAAGTGAGTGAACGCCGGTATGTGTTCGCTCACCTCCTGATCTACTGAGCCGACCTGTGACAGTCTCATTGTCACAGGTCGGCTAGAACTATGAGGTGAGTGAAAAGCACCCCCCCCCCCCCCCCTCATAGTTCTCCTTTAATGCTCCATTTCTTCTCAGGCCCTCTGCTTGACCCGGTTCTTGTACTGGGAATCACTGGGGTTCTTGTGGGCTCTCACCAGGAGGATGAAAGTCTCCACATCCAACATACTCCTGAATCCTCCATTTTGCTGGTACAGCAGTGAGTAGGAGCATCCCTAAGTATCTCACCACCTGAAGCCATAGGTGGAGGGGTTTTGCTGGCAAGCCTCAGGCTGCCTCATTATAGGGATGGCCCTGACAGCATAGACATTGCGATACACCGCAAAGCAACACTGTGCGTTGTTGCCTGCAATCCCTTTTTATGCAGTGGGCCAGAGAGGGATCACTTTGATGCAGTTGGCCAGAGAGGGATCACTTTGATGCAGTTGGCTAGAGAGGGATCACTTTGATGCAGTTGGCCAGAGAGGGATCACTTTGATGCAGTTGGCCAGAGAGGGATCGCTTTGATGCAGTTGGCCAGAGAGGGATCGCTTTGATGCAGTTGGTCAGAAAGGGATCACTTTGATGCAGTTGGCCAGAGAGGGATCACCTTGATGCAGTTGGCAAGAGAGACATCGCTTTGACACATGTGGCCATAGAGGAATCACTTTGATGCAGTTGGCCAGAGAGGGATCACTTTGATGCAGTTGGCCAGAGAGGGATCACTTTGATGCAGTTGGCCAGAGAGGGATCACTTTGATGCAGTTGGCCAGAGAGGAATCACTTTGACACATGTGGCCAGAGAGGAATCACTTTGATGCAGTTGGCCAGAGAGGAATCACTTTGAAAAGGTTGGCCAGAGAGGGATCACTTTGACACTCGTAGCCATAGAGGAATCACTCTGACACAGTTGGCCAGAGAGGGTTCACTTTGATGCAGTTGGCCAGAGAGGAATCACTTTGAAAAGGTTGGCCAGAGAGGGATCACTTTGACACTCGTAGCCATAGAGGAATCACTCTGACACAGTTGGCCAGAGAGGGTTCACTTTGATGCAGTTGGCCAGAGAGGAATCACTTTGAAAAGGTTGGCCAGAGAGGGATCACTTTGACACTCGTAGCCATAGAGGAATCACTCTGACACAGTTGGCCAGAGAGGGTTCACTTTGATGCAGTTGGCCAGAGAGGAATC